TGCAGAGGGCGGGGACCTGAGCAGACTGTGAGGGAAAGCACAGGGCAGGCAGCTCTCCCAGGGCAAGTTCCCAAGAGAGATCCCTTTCCAGGAATTAGACCTTCTAACTCATGCTGAGAATTTTGAAAAATCAAAAAGATGCTGGGCTCTTCTTTCAGGGAATTCCACAGCATTGGGGGACCAGATGGCTGGCAGCAATCCCTGCAGATCCAGGAGGGGACCAGCACATTCCTCAGTCTCAGGGAGTGAGCATGTTCTGTTGTAGAGAGCAGGTTTTGTTTTGGGGTTTTTTTTTAAATTGAACTGAATTGACTAAAGTGTGGAGGTAAGGAGACATGTCTAAGTAAATGCCCCATGCAAACATCTGCAGTTTCCAAATAGCCCATAGAAACACCTGCAGTTTCTTGCCAAATCCACTATGGAGGGGCTTTGCTTTCCTAACTGCAGAGAAGGTACTTCAACCCTGAAGCAACCGAGGAGGCAAAGTAAGAGACTGGGAAGGAGCACAGGCCCCGGCAGGAGATAGGCAGCATTTGGGGGTTAGCCCTGCCGGTCCCCAGCTGCCAGTCCCAGGAAGCCTCAGTTTCTTCACCTGTAGAATGGAGCCGATCACGGAGCCCAGTGCGCAGGGTTGAACTGAGTGTGGAAGGAACTGTGTGCCAAGGACTTGCACTGTGTCGGATCTAGAGCGTGTGCTCAGCATCTCTTCACTGTTGTTTTTCATTGGAAAACAAGCTTGTGACCAATGAAATGCAGTGAGTATAACATTTTCATGGAAGTTCATCCAAACTGTGGCGTACAACGTTCTCCAACATGGTGGCCCCCTCTGGTGTGTGCTATTAAAATCATGACATCATAATAAAGCTAATTTTAGGCCTGAGTCTGCAACTCTGCACAAATCTTGACACCAAACCCTTGTATGAAAGCGGTTGATTATGATTATATAGACGTGAGATGCGGAGTTCTAATCATGTGTTTACAGCTACATTACATGTTAGCAGCAAAAAGGAGTATAGGCACCCTCTCAAATTCCTTCCAATATTGGATTCTTGCTGCAGGTTTGATACCCACTCAGTGATTTGTACCACCTGAGCAAAATAAGATCTTACGCAAATGGCCTCGCCATCTGGCTTTTAAGGTGGTCAGAGAGTTAGCAGAATCTTATACACTGTGCAGTACCTACCCTAGTCCATGTGGCTGAGGCCTCCTCCATATGAGCCCCCTTTAGGCAGAGCACCATTGCCTTCACTTCATTAAAGCCCTTTACTGTATTATCCCATCTTAGATTTTCCTTACCTAATCTTTTGTCTGACCGCCAAAAGTTTTCTAACAAGTTGTACTCAAACCTGAATTTCTAACCATTTCTAGTTGGGCTATACACATGCATTCAGTTACAGAATGCTGGGCCCATGTAGCACTCCCTCCAGCTTGGACTTGCTACCCACAATTCTGATAAAGTACCTGTGCTGACTAATTGCCCAAAAGAGCCCCAGGGAAAGGCATTCTCCTTGCCTCTCCCATGCCACCCGTCAGCACATCCCTGCTCTTATGTTGCCCTCTAGCAACACAGATTGCGCTATTTAGAGGCACCAGCTACACAATTTGCATTCTGGCACGACCAGTGCCTGGCACCCAGCCACCGAAGCTGGCAGCATGGAATATACATCAGTCTCCACACTGGTTGCTCGTTCCGTTTTGGCAAGATGAACGCCCTCCCATGGGGAGAGTGAACTTAATTGGTTTTCTGGGGGTGCTTAGTTAAGTCACCCCGCCTCAGCTCCAAGTGGATTAAAGTGTCGCTTTGCCCTTTTCCAACAAGCGTAGCAAATGAATGGTGGGGAAATACTCCGACATGCACATGGCCGGGTCCTCCCATTCTCTCTTTTTTCCTAGTGACTTTGGGGAGGTTTGGGCACGGATCCTGCACACACAATGCTGTTCTTGTTCCTCTTTGCTCTACAGGGCAGCCTTGAATAGCTCTGTCTAAAATTATAAGCAGGGGCAGCCCTAGGCTCCAAAGGATCAGAGCCCTCATGCTGGGCCTGAACAAAGACCCTGCTTTTCCCCAACAATTAGCCCTGCAAAAAAGGACATCTATCTCCCTCCATTAAAACCACCACGTGCCTTCAAGTCAGCCCATTGTGAAGCTAATTAAATAACACGCCTCTCTCCCCCATGCAGGTCTCCTGATGAGCTAGCCTTGGTCCAAAAGCTCCGCAAAGCGCCTAGAGATAGACAAGCCAATGTTCCACTCCTCACCAGCTCCCATCACCAGTGGGAGCCTTTGAAAAGCCATCTCATCAATATGGCATCATTGGTGCATGCTGCATGCACATCGTCAATCCCAGCTCAGACTTCAGTTACCTCCGGCCTCACGGAATGGATGAAATTTATTTTATTTTAAAAATAAACGAATTGGGCTCTAGCCGGTTTAGCTCAGTGGATAGAGCATCGGCCCACAGACTGAAGGGCCCCAGGTTTGACTCCAGTCAAGGGCATGTACCTCGGTTGCAGGCTCCATCCCCAGCCCTGGTCTGGAAGCCTGTGGCAGGCAACCAATGGATGTGTCTCTCTCACATCGATTTCTCTCTCTCTCTCTCTCTCTCTCTCTCTCTCTCTCTCTCTCCCCTCCCTTCCACTCTTTCTAAAAATTAATGGACATATCCTCAGGTGAGGATTAAAAAATAAAAATGAATAAACGATTTGGGAAGGAAAATTTTCTGTTACCACATAAAAATCTTTGGAGAGAATCCAGCCACATGAGAGTTTGCAAGAACTGCATTCCCGCCAGAGGGGAGCGTTTCTGAGGGACTCCCCGCTGAAGCCTCAGAGCCTGGGGGACGCAGCCAGCACAGCCGCAGGCAGGTCTGTGTCCTGGGCAGGGACAGCCCTCAGATCTGTGGGAAGAGAGGGCTTCTCCGGGCGGGTATCAGACAGGAAAGCAGAAATCAGAGACCACGTGGCAACCACAACTTTCTAAATGTGACAGAGACATAAATCCCTCCAAAGACGTCTTCTTGCCAATCTGATAGAATCCTAGCGGAGCCCAAAATTGGTGTCTACCTTCTTTCAAGCATGGCTCACTTGTTTCTCGCAGAGGGACCCTGCCCTCCAACAGTGGGGACTTGTTCAGGCCCTTGAACACACCCTACTGCTTCACCCTTGGGTGCGCTTTTTGCAGGCCTTTGTCTCGCTGGAAAGCCCTAGAGTCTAGGGCAGTGATGGCGAACCTTTTGAGCTCGGCGTGTCAGCATTTTGAAAAACCCTAACTTAACTCTGGTGCAGTGTCACATATAGAAATTTTTTGATATTTGCAACCATAGGAAAACAAAGACTTATATTTTTGATATTTATTTTATATATTTAAATGCCATTTAACAAAGAAAAATCAACCAAAAAAATGAGTTCGTGTGTCACCTCTGACACGCGTGTCATAGGTTCGCCATCACTGATCTAGGGCCTAGACCACCTGTCCCACTCATCTGTCATGACACAGCAGCAAACAGCACCCCCTGCCCCCATCCCATGAAGGTTTCCAGACCCTTCCTGGACACAGTCCTGCCCTCCTGCCCCAACCTTCTCTGTTCTCAGGAAAAATCGCTTCAAATCAGCGCACAAGGCCCTGACTGAGAGAGCATTCTCTCCACGGCTCAGAAATCTCAGCCCTTCAAAGGCAGGAACCACATTCCATCCACGTTTTCATTTCCAGCTTAAAACACAGTGACTTCACCATAGTAACATCGTCACTGCTTTAATCAGTGTTGAAAGAATAGATAAAGGAGTAAGTGAATGAAATAATGAATAAAAGGATAGATGACGAAAATGACCATTTGATGTTCCATGTGACCTGAGATAGTAAAAGCAGGACTATGGCCAGCCTCCCTGCTGATGGCCTGTGCCCTTGGAAAAGAATATTAGTATTTTAAGACACGGTTCTCTCCATTTGAAAGTGTCCCATCTCATGCACATGCACACACGTACACACACTTTTTAGATACAATTTTTTTAAAATATTTTTTTATTGATTTCAGAGGGGAAGGGAGAGGGAGAGAGAAATAGAAACATCAATGATGAGAGAGAATCATTGATCAGCTGCCTCCTGCCCACCCCCTACTGGGGATTGAGGCCGTAACCCAGGCATGTGCCCTTGACAGGAATCGAACCTGGGACCCTTTAGTCTGCAGGCTGATACTCTATCCACTGAGCCACACTGGCTCGGGCTAGATACAATTTTTTAATAATAAAATTGAAGACCAGGCCAGTCATTTTCTAAATCTTTTTTAATAGTTCAAGAACTTAACTTTTCAAACCAACTCCAGTCTTTGAGGGTTCTAGCTTAATTATTTTTAAACCATACAAACCTTTCAGTCCAAGTGTTTTAAGAAGCCTCACCAATCTGTTTGGATGTCAAAATTGTTGAGGGAATGACTAAACTACAAAGAAATCCCATTCAACTTAAATTTTCCATGAAATAATCATGGGCCTCAAAATTAGCATTTAAAAAAAATTAAAGCACTTGGCAAAACAGAATTTGAACTCTGCCAAATCCCTAAACATTTTTTTTTTAAAAAGCCACAGTCATTGAATGATTCCCATCCCTAAATCATAAAGTCTTGTATATGTCTGATGACTCTTGTATAAATTCATTTCTGTGCATGGTGTCATTTGGGGTCATTTCTTTCCTATTTGGGGTCATTTCTTTGCTATTTTGCCACCACAATTTCAACTTTCAAGAGATGTGTTTTTCTAATATTTGAGGGCGCCTTCAATGTAGAGAGATAAATCGAGGCAGAAAGACACAGAGACGATTCCATGATCATGCAGTAGCCATCACAGTAATAAGTCATCATATCAGCAAAAGCGTTTATAGCCTCCAACCGGAGACCAGGGGAGAAAACACTGCCAT